ATCATTTTAAGTTCAGACCCTGTGGCAGGCAGACTCTGTGGAACGCAAAAGCTCAAAATATTTGTGGAGCTAACAGAAGATTGGGGCAAAGAAAGCAGAGAAAGGGATGGAACAGGAAGAGTCTGGAGAGCTAGATAGGGGGATGAACAGTCTGGCTCTTGTTGGTCTTGTTAAGGACTTTATCTTAAGAGCAATGGGTTTATTTTAAGAGCCATTGAAATAGCGGAGGACCCAGATTGTATTTACATTTCAAAGCCTTCATGGCTACATTGAAGTAAAGCTATTTAAGAGCTTTCCTAAATCCTTGTGGGGATTGATAGGAGCTTGATCTGGGATGGTAGTTGACTGTAGAGATGGAGATTAGTAGATTGATTTGAGAAATTTGGGGGAGGATGTGACAGGAAGGGAGGTTTCAAGGAAGAATATTTTCTTTATTTTCATTTTTCATTGAGATTGGAACATTAGATGAGAATAGGTTTGGAGCACCACTAAATTAAGTTGGGTTTTTAAATTTAATAAATCTCTAAGAAATTAACCCATTAAATCTATGTATGGTAGCAATTAGGTAGGAGTATTAAAAATGTGAAACTTAATCCCTGTTTTAGATATTATAATCTCATTGGGAAAGTAAGTTATAGACACAAAATATTTAAATGGCACATATTATCAGGATTTCATTTAGTAATGCATGGAATCTAGAATGTAGCCCCTCATCCAATAGCCTTTAGCATTTAATATTATATTTAATTATACTCAATTTAATTAAACTCAATTATTTAACATTTCATCTTTGAAGTCTATTAAAATTTCAACATAGTTATTGGAGAGCAATGAACTTAATTTATTAATAAAAACTGCAAAAGTATATATATACATATATATGTATATATATACTTGTATTATTTAGAAAGATAGAAAAGTTTCTATAAAAAGTTTCACCATATATTTGAATATAAATGCTCATTAGTATACAGTATATGTTTTAAGTGCTGATTGATGTGAGTTAAAAAGGAAATTCTAAGAAGTCATGCCAATTTTTGTAATACTCAACAATTCTCTAACACATTCCTCTGCAAAAGCAGGCACATAAATGGTACAAACAGACAGGGTGATGGGTTCTGAGAGGATTTGTGGACAAGAGAGTTGGAGAGCAGGCAGTGTTTGTATGGGCAAAGTTTAAGCAAGAGCACTTTCTAAGTGGAGGGTCTAAAAGAGTCAGGAATCGGAAGGTGTCAAGGTGGACACCAGAAGGATTAGTTAGTGAAGAGGACAGGACGAGTGGGTCAATAGTACGCAGTGTTTAAACAACAGTGCTAATGCCTAGTCTTTGGTAATAAGACCTTTATTGTTTTCAAGTGAGAATATGAAACTATTTTGTCATTTCTTCTGCAGGCTCCCGTCTTCGTCAGGAAGATTTTCCACCTCGCATTGTTGAACACCCTTCAGACCTAATTGTCTCAAAAGGAGAACCTGCAACTTTGAACTGTAAAGCTGAGGGCCGCCCCACACCGACTATTGAATGGTACAAAGGTGGGGAGAGAGTGGAGACAGACAAAGATGACCCTCGCTCACACCGCATGTTGTTGCCAAGTGGATCTTTATTTTTCTTACGAATTGTACATGGACGAAAAAGTAGGCCAGATGAAGGGGTCTACATCTGTGTAGCAAGAAATTACCTCGGAGAGGCTGTGAGCCACAATGCATCGCTGGAGGTAGCCAGTAAGTAACAGGGGCTTTCTGTGTTTCTCGGGGGGGATGGCAGAGCGGGAACATTTCCCTTGATAAGGGCAATAACAAAAATCAAACCTGTATCACAGGCTTTACTGCAGGAAAATCTCTAGCTTTGCATATGAATACAACCCACTCTTTATCTGAATTTACTATAGTATTTCTCATTCTAGCTGTTATTCAAACTTAATTTGGATTTATACAGGTTTGGTGAAATATTTTACTTTTTTTTGATTTGGAGCTGTTTTCTGTTGACCATTTGCACTGAAATTAATTCATCCCCCTTCATTGTTACTTTTAAATATATTGAATATAAGTATGTTTTTTTAAAAAGAATACTGTGGGGTATTTTTCATTTGTTTTCATTAAGAGAAATGCTTTCAACTGGAATTGTAAAGTATGATTTTAAACAATTTCTAATTCTTAGAAATCTATTATACTTTTTGGTAAGCTATATCCAGAGATACATATGCCTCATATTTTGTTCTCTTAGCTGCTGTAGTGCAACTTGGGAGTGCATGTAAAACTCAGTAGTTCAGTTTCTTTATACAAATGCCAAAGGCAGCTCATCTGAAATCACCATAAGAAGAATTTGTTGACTGCTGATTACATATTTATTTCTAGAGTCTAGATATGTATTATATTTGGATAAGAATTGGGCTTCTCTTGTTTTCAATAAACATTTAAGAGGTAGCCAGAAAGTTGCATTCCTTTGAAAAATCACACTGTGTATATGTATACATGGCAGAAATTGAGAATTTACATTTATTAGAGAGACAAATGAAATTTAGATCTAATTTATTGTAGGCTTATATATAATTATATGGGAAACTATACATAACTATATATATGTAAATGATGATTGACATCCTCTTATAATTTGCATTCAATATCTTAATCACATAATCAGTTTTCATAATATCCAACATTGTCTCCAGCCTTCAACTAGAATTTGAATATATAAAATCAGATAACTATACAATTATAGACATAGAAAAGAATTTAGAGACAGATTATTTTAATTCAATCATATTATTAATGTGGAATCAGCCCCTGGAAATTTAGATGATTTGATCACACTCACAAAATCAAGTAGTACTTAAATTGAGACAATGCCAAAGATGTCTGATCTGAGCATAAAATTTAGAGAAATAAAAAAATTAAAGTAAATTTAAATATATATCAGAACTAGCCAATCACATTTTTAAAAACATTTACTTAAAACCCAGGTTTATATTTCTCTCTTCACAGTTAATTGATGATGAAATTATATTTTTTCATATTGCCTTGATTCTCAGTTTAGTTTATAGAACTAAATCAGTGAGATGAATAAAATCTATAATTACAACAGAAAGTTATTGTTCTTTTGTTTTTTTAAGCCCAATTTTAAATTTAAAGCAAGCAAAAGAAGTTTAAAGGTGCAACTTACAAAAGGACTGTTTTGATAAAATCATCTTTCTACGTTATGAGATGAGCATCTTTTAAACTCTTGACACATTTATATTTAAGGCTAATTATTTCCTGTAGAAATACATTTAGTTAACATTTGAGAATACATTTAAAGAATCAAAAAAAATGTGCATAACCTAAGCCAACTCCTACATTTGCAAGGTAAGAAACAGAAGATCAGGAGAGAAAAAAGTGATTATTTATTCTCGGAATTATAATTCCTTATAAATGAAGACTGTACCAACAGAAATATTCTGGGTCATCTCCTGTTTCTGTGCTAGTTCCTATTCTAATTGTATCCTTATGGTTGTCAGAATTAGGAAAAGGAAGGTTATAAACATTAATAGAAGGTCTAAGTGCTCACCCCCTAGTTCTTCCTTTTTAAAATACCTCTAGTTTTATCTCAGATGATCAAGATAGCCTTAATGCACTGGGATTTACAGAACTGACTTTCCTCTAATCTGGTTTTTGTGTTGATATTTAAAAAACACACACTAAGTTTCCACTTAACTTCTCTTGTTAAACTAGACATTCTATTACCTTGAGAATTAATTATGGAGAAACTCTTCCAATCTTAGTTGTCAAATATAATATGGAATTGAGAGTGGACAAAAGGTCGTTATGTAACTTTTATCTGTAAAATATTCAAATATGTAGTTTCATTTTTTAAAAAAAGTCTGTTTTGTTGAGAGTATTACAAATGCCCCCCCTCCTCCATTTCTCCCCTCTATCAGATTCCACCCCACCCCAGGCCTTCACCACCTATTGTCTGTGTCCATAGGTAATGCATACACGCATATAAGATCTTTGGTTAATCTCTTCCCTCCAACCCCACTCCCCTTCCATCTGAGATTCGTCAGTCTGCTCCATGTTCCCATGCCTCTGATTCTATTTTATTCATCGGTTTATTTTGTTCATTAGGTTTCTTGTTCATTTATTTTGATTTTTAGATTCAATTGTTGATAGGTATTTATTGCTATTTTATTGTTCATATTTTCCTCCTCCTTCTCCACCTCCTCCTCCTTTTCTTCCTCCTTCCTCTTTCTCTTCCTTTTCTTAAACAGTGCCCTTCAACATTTCATGTAGTACTGGTTTGGTGGTGATGAACTCCTTTAGCTTTACCTTGTCTGTGAAGCTCTTTATCTCGCCTTCAATTCTAAATGATAGCTCTGCTGGGTAGAGTAATCTTGGTTGTAGGTCCTTGCTGTTAATCACTTTGAGTATTTCTTGCCACTCCCTGTTGGTGTCACTGGAAGGAATTGACCTCCAGGCCAGTTGGCTTTGAGGACCAGCTGTGTTTACAATGGAAGAACTCCTATGCAAGAGACACCCCTATGGAGCAGGACTTGCTTCAGTGGAGCTTTGGTGCTCACTTAGTCTGCCCCTTTTGTGTATCATTTGTGGATACATAGGGTTGTTATCTGGTATGTTCTGAGGCTGTCTACCAAGTGCACTGGCTCTAGGGCCTCCTAGGAGGTGCAAAGTCAGCAACTGCTTGGGGCCACCCCACAGGAGCTAAAGAGAGATCTGTAGATGGCTGCTACTTATATTGGGCTAGGAAGTACTCAGGCGAGGCCCAGTTGTGAAGCAAGGCAGGCTGGTGTTAGTGCCGAGGCCCGGGCCACTTTTGGGTAGGTTTGGGGCATGCTGACTCAACCTGCTGCTTATTCAAGAGATTTTTAGCAGAGTCTGGAGCCTGAGCCAGGACAAGCCATTCATATGGAAAAGCAGATTTTCCTATGGGGCTGCAGTTTGGATGGGGAGGGGTCTCAGAGAATCACCAGGGTAGAGTGAACATTGTGGGCAATGCTGATGGAAATTCATATATGGCTGCCAGTTAGCTCTGCAATGGGGGGAGGTCCCAGCACAGGTATAATGACCCTTGTGAGTACCTCTGTCTGTGAAAAAGCTACCTCCGAGTTCTTGCCCTGATGCCAGACAATCCAGTTCCTCCTCATATGTTCCTGGGATCCCTGAAGCCACCACCTGGCACTGGAACTCAGAGGAAGCAAGACTGTAAGTTCGTGTGCCGGCCTTTTAAGAAAAACAGGCTGGGACTCTATCAGCCTCTGTGTCCCTCAGCCATAGTCCCCGCTGGCTTTTACAGCCTGAAGTTATGGGGACTTCTCTTCCCAGCTCTGGAACCCTGGGCTGTGGGTCTGGTGTGGGGCTGTGACCCCTTGCTCCTTATGAGCGGCCTCTGCAGAAATGATTGTCCTCCCAATTAAAAATCTCTGCACACATGGGTGCTGGGCCAGCGGTTCTTTGCCTCTGCCCCTCCTACCGGTCTCAATGTCCTTTTTTCTTTACTTCTCTAGTGGTAGGACTTCCATTCAGCCAGACTTCAGGCAGTTCTGAATGATGGTTGTTCTGTATTCTAGTTATAATTTTGATGTGGTGTGGGAGGCGGTGAGTACAGGCTTTTATCTACACTGCCATCTCAGTATGGTCCCTCCTCAATATGTAGTTTCTTAATACTGCATAATTCACATATTTTAGAGTGATATATCTCATTATAGATCCAAATTGTTTTCAAGCTCCAGAGAAAAAATAATATTATAATTTACTGAGTAAATGGGGGAGGAGGGCATCTGTAATACTTGTGACAATAAAGATAAATTTAAAAAATACTTTAAGATCATCTTCAGCAATAATTCTTGTACATGAAAAGGGAAAATTGTATATTTATCAAATATAGCTTGATATTAATAAGGATATTTTAATAATAGGGATCCTTATTAGTGATAATAATAGTTACTTAAAATCTTAAAAAAACACAATAGTGTTTGTTTTCAATAGTTTTATACTGATGTAATTATAATAATTAAAGGCATGTTTTTGGGATACATTATATTATTTGGACATAGCTATGTGGAAAAAATAAGTCCTTTGAGTTAAAATGTGTTTTATGTATTTAAAAAATTTAGAAACTATTATTAAGTAAATTCATGCTTCAATATAATATAAATAGATATGTAGTAATTAAATTCATATGTACTTTAGTTATTTATTTTAGGTAGTGGTTGCTGTTCATTCACCATTTTTAAATGTGTTTGCGTCCTCAAATCAGATTTCGTGTGTTACATAACTAAATGATATGTTCGGGAGGGGGGGGCAAAGAAACATGGATCATATTTAATGTAGGTTAAATCTATAAAGTACTGTTCCATTTTTTTAAAAAATTTTTCCTGGACAATGTTACCACTTTTTTAAAGATTTCCTTAGCTTATGTATTAGAAGTTCAGTGAGAACTATCCTTATTCTCTCAAAGGCTCAGACACAGGAAGGCAAAGATTGCATCAAATTTCTTAGTGAAGCCGTAGCCCCAAATAATAGCATTAACAAAAGTGTCTTGAGGCAACTTTTACAGTGCAGTTATAGGTAATTCTTTTAAAAACATGTATCTGTGTTTTATTTGCCTTTAAACCAAGTTTTACAGCTGTAACAACAGCTGGATTTCTTGGTTCCTAACAATTGTCAATCTCTCAAACATTGAAAAAAAAAATGATATGGATGTCATTTACTACCTTTGTTTCTGTATA